CCCTACCCTCGCTGGCCTCAGCAGTGTGGCACTGTTCCCCAGCCTCCTGCCTTAGGCCCTCCTCGGAAGGGCTCCCCCAAAAGGTAACTTTACCCAAGCTGGTTACCTCAGCCTTGTAGGCGAAGGAAGGGGCTTTCCTGATGCCCCTTCCCACTGGACAGACCTGCAGTTAGATCATAGCTCCTCCAACAAATATAGTAACCACCACCTGTAACCATGCATCCCCCACACTGGCACTCCAGACAGTTCCTTCTCTTCCCAGAATGTCAGGTTACTTCTCCTCCCACTCTCAGCCCCTTCCCCCCTCCCCATAAAGTGACACTCACATAGCGACGCCCACTGATCACTAGTTCACATATGGAAAGAAAAACACATATAGCTTAGGTTAGCCTCAGTAGCCTGGTGTGCCTGAGATCCCTTCCCACCCAGTCTCTTCTTTCCATTCTGACTTGCCCTCCACTTCAGGACACCCCTCCCCATTACCGCTCTCCTCCCCTGGCTGTTTCACACTGAGATCCCCAGGAGGAAAGCAGCAGGGCTACTCCTGCTAGAGGATGAAGGACAGATTGGGCTCTAGCATTTACTTTCAGATGGTGATGACCTTCCCATCCCATCCCTTCTCCCCATCAAGAACTAACCAAGGGCACCTGTAATAGGAAAGAAGTGAGGGTAGAAACTTCCTGATTTGAGGGAGGAGAGCTGAACCCTAGAATGGATAAAAGGATAAAACTGGCAAAAGTTGGAGTAGGGCTTCTGTTATCTTGAGATTTCATTCCTGTTAATGAAGTGCCCCAGGCAGAGTGAGGCATTTAAATGGGGCAGTGGGGGGGGGGGGGGGCTGAAGAAGCCAGTACAAATTTGGACCCAAAGGGAGCCAAGGCTTAAAGCCTGGTTATGTTGCTTATCAATATGAATTCTGCCTAAAGATTTTTGGCCAGTCTGCCTTTGGTTGTGGGGTTTGAATTTTTTCCTCACCAGGACTGCTTTAGGCAGTTCTGGATGGGGATGGAGATGATGTGAGAGAGTTGGTGCCTTTCTGTGAGGGGTGACACTTGCCATGGGTGCTGAAGAGGGCCTGGAGTGGGTATCAAGAGACCAGCCTGAGAGGGGCCAGCAACCACAACTGGGTTCCTTTTAGTTTCATCCCAAAACCCTCTCTCTAATCTCCAAAAATTTCTGAACTCATTCCTGGAGTGATGGAGGGAACCATTCTGTGCTGAGGGGTAGGGCTTGTTAATTCCTCAAGGTATAGGATGGGTATAGGGGACCAAGTATAGAAGGAAGCAGGTGTCCTGGCTCATAGCTAGTTTTTCGGGGAGGAAGAAATGAGGGAAGAGGGGGAGGGAAGATGCCACGCCTGGGAGAGGGGCCAGGGCTGGTCTGCGGAGGCAATAGTCATGGCCCAGGGAGTGCCAACTCCTTTCCTCCGCCCTACCCCAGTTCTTTGGTGGTGGTAGTGAAGGAGAGAGGGGGTGTTTGGGGGTGATCTGGGCCAGTCCAGCCTCCCAAAGCCCTTGCCAACCTGGGTCCTGAAAGGAGCTGCTGTTTTCTGAGCCATCCCCCCAACCCCCACCCGGAGCCCAGCAGCCAACTTGTCTCAGTGGATATCAAATGGCAGTGACTCCACTGAGTGGGGGTGGGGGTCAGGGTTATGGTCCCATTCCTTCTGTGGTTGTAATGAAGAATCCCACTACTGCCCCCTACCCTGAGGAAGAAAAAATCTATCCCTCAACATCCACCCCACATCCAGTCTATTGACACATATGTTTGTGTGGGAGGATTCGTTGTCTGCCCTCTGGCATCCCCCACCTGCTCCCTGTGCCCTACACCTGCATTTCTGTGCATGAGCTCATTTATAGCTCCAGTTTTGTTGGCTTGGGCTATAAGGGAAAGGCCTGGCAGAAGACCCAGAGGACTCCTTTTCTTGCTCTCCCTAGAGACCAGAGAGGCTAGGACACTAGGATCTGGGTGGGCACAACTAAAGTCTTCTGGGGTCATCCTCGGAGTGGTGGGATAAGGGGTTTAGGGCTCTGGGGCATGAGTCATGTAGCAACACCCACTTCCTCAAAGGAGAAAAGGCCTCCTGGGCCTTTTAGCAAAATGCACACAAGATGGAAGATAG